TTCAACTCATATTCGTTTAATTTTTTTCTCATTTATGTGCTGAATATGCTGCTCTTGATTTTCACTTTTTATTAAAATGTCATTTAATCAACGATCACTCAACATTGTGTCCATTACTTGCTGGAAAATTCCAGGTGCTACCTTAATTCTGAAAGGTAATCTGTCAAACTTGTGGGTATTGATTGTTAACAGTTTTTAACCTTCGTCAACCTGGATTTGTTAATATGCGTCTGACAAGTCCAACTTTGAAAAGTGCTTTCCGCTATTTAACTTTGCAAAAATGTTTTCCGGGATTGGAGGATGTAATTGTAATCTTATAGGCAATCATTCAGCCCCGTAGAGAAATCGCTACAGACATGGATTTTGTTATTTTTCTTTTTTTATGTAGACGTTCAAAGAGGCCCAATCGCTATATTTCACTTTGGAGATCATTCCCATATTTTCCAAGTGTTTTAAATCATTGTTTATCGTCTCCAAAGCTGAAAAAGGCACATTCCTCTTTGGTGTAAGAATTGGTACTTAAACAGGGACTTAGCGTTCAGGTTTGTGCGTCTTCTTAACTCTCCAGAAAGAAATTCTGGAAATTGATTTTAACAATTCTTTTTTTTTTTTTTTAGCCTTTCAGAGTTACGAGAAGAGCCATCCGCTTTCCAAAACAAAAAAGTTTATGGACAAATCCCATAAATTGAACGGTTGCATCCAATCTGTTTCAAACAAGTTATAAGTTCTTTCCATCATGTATGCGTTAGCCTTCATCGTTTTCCCATAAAACGATGTGAACTCACCTTTAAATTTAAATTTCTGCCCAGTAACGTCGCGATCAATTTTGGCGGGGTAATATTAATATTGGCCTAGCGGTTCTATACCACGTTTCTTTGTTTATAATATTCAAATCTGATCCTGTGTCGAGCTGAAACTTTGTATAGCCTGTATTTATTTTTATGGTTACAATTTTTTTTTTTTTTTTACTCTTGTTTACGTTGTCTGTCGTCGACGCTACGTTTACAGTACTCTTGAATTTTGACATTTTTTACTTTTAATTTTAGAATGCGAACTCTTGTGTTGGACTGATCGGAACACGGAGACACGGTGGAGTAATGGATAGTTCAGATTGAGGAATAGAGTTGAGTTCGAATTCCAGCCGGATCCATCACAATTAATTACACTTGGGGGTTCTAGGAACATTCGCCTTAAACATTTTTGTCGTAGAGAAACACGCCTTGGGAATTTCCGCCGTAGAAAACTTTGCCGTATAGGATTTTTGCCGTAAGAAATTTCGCTGCATTTTTTTTTAATATGCGAAGTACCTTATTTACACAATTCCGACTACTGTCCTCATCTTTGTTGCCATATTTATCACAACTTTTACAAGTCCCAGAAATTCATACACAGATGTCCTTAGGGACACATGGCACAATGGATAAAAGCGTTGGTTAGATCCAGTGACAGTATCCAAAGTGTTGTGAGTTCAATACGGGGTTAAGGCAGTGGAGAACTTGGAGAGGTGTATTAACAGGAGATAACTGATAACTGACATCCGTTAGACATGGCACGTGGAACTAGAACAGTCTACCCCAGTGAGCGAAATAAGGGGTTCAGTTCGACATTCCAACCACCTGAAGAAGGCCGGAGTGTACAACGGCCGAAACGTTGTGATAAATAAGGCAACAGGCAAAACATTTTCTTGTTCTTAAAAGGGCAGTTCCTCTTGAAATGTAGCGCTTTTTTCAGGTATTTTCTTTAACATTTCCTGAATGCATAGGACGATAGACTCAATATACGCTGTTTGAAATAAAAAGGGGGATTTATTTCAATTACGAACATCCGTCATAATAACGCTTAAATAATAAAATTTCGTGTAAAGAATAAATACATTAATTGTTTAGAAAAGCACATGATGGTTGTCGACCAAGTATGACAATTGGTGACAAGGTTTTGAAATCAATTGTCCTTCATCCACGAACAGAAAGCTCAGTCTGTCCTGTTATTTAACACATAGCTGGGGCTAAAACAGATGGATTCATTCCTTTCGAAAGGGTATTTGCGCTTAACGAACTCTTGGTTATCCAACTATTGGGCCACTAACCATTAACCATTACACACACACACAGACATATATATATATATATATATATATATATATATATATATATATATATAAATTGTGTGTGTGCGTGTGTAGGTATGTAGAAAAATAGGAAAAATACGTTAGGTAAATAATCCGGAGTTCTTTAGTATTTTTTTATTTTTATTTTAAAAATCAGTGTTCCATACAGAAGTAGAGCTTAAATTATAATTATTTTTTTAAAAAAATATAGTTCCTTCGCTACATAAGAGTTTTCATGTTTGAAAAACAAGAGCCGAAACCCTCAATATAATTATTAAAATTAAATTGAATTAAAGTAAAAAGCCCTGTTTCAAGCGAAAAATTTAGGAATAACCAATCTTGAAATTCGTTACTATGGAAACGGCTGGGGCGACTATTTTTGATAAGGGGCCTAAGAGTAAATTTTTATCCACATATCAGTCACCTTCCGGGGGAGGTCAAGCTGAGGTAGGGTGGGGTGTCTATAAGATTGGTTATTCCTAAATTTTCGCTTGACGATGAAACCGGGCTTATTACTTTAATTCAATTTACTTTTAATAATTATATTGAGTGTTTCGGCTCTCGATTTTGAAACATGAGAACTCTTATAAAGCGAAGGAACCATATTTAAAAAATAATTACAATATATATATATATATATATATATATATATATATATATATATATATATATATATATATATATTTGGTTTGTTTACATTATTATGTTGATGTGTGGGTTGATACATTTATGCTTGCTTTTTTTGTATATATATATATATATATATATATATATATATATATATATATATATGTATATGTGTGTATACGTGTATATATATATATATAATATGCGTGTGTGTATGTTTGTCTGTAGGTAGGTTTTTCTGTGTTTCTGTCTGTAGTGAAGAATGTGTACACATATGTCTGTACGTATTTTTTTTTATTTTCTTTCACCTAATATTATATATTTGTACTCGTGTATGTGCACTAGTGTGTATATTGTTATATATGAAATATATTTTTATATATATTTGTGTGTTTGGACTTTTCGTTTTTATATATTAGATGGTGTTATTTTTATGCGTATATACCTGTTTTAATGTCCTTTCTTTCTCAATTGTTTGTTTTTCTGTTCTTGCCATGTTGAATTTTATCTATTCTACCATGTTTAATATATATAATTCGTTTAATAATAAATGTTTAATAACACTTTCAAACTTGAATATTTCTTGGTAGGTGTTTCAGCGTGTCTTGGTCAATGCATGCTTGTGTATGTACGTGTCTTTGTCGGTGTTTGTGTGTATGGTCACTTGTGTGTACCCTTCATTGTGTATGTATGTTGTTTTTTGTATTTTCGTGGAGATATTTCCTGTCTCGTCGCTTTTTTTTTTGTGTGTGTATATTTAAATACATCTGGGTGTTTATGCATTATAATCTGATTGTGTATGTATTGTCTTTTGCAAGATTTCATCCTCCTCTGCCTCTGTTTACGATTCAAATGTATCTATGTTGTCATGAAGTTCAGAGCAACATTTCATCTTAACGTTTATTCCAACTTAATTTCAATAAAAAACAAGATAGATAGAATAACATAAATAATTTTTTTTTGTTTTTTCCTCAGTGATTTTATAATTCTAAAGTTAATATAGACTAAATTTAAATTTTAAAAGAGGTCATTTTTATTTTCAAATTTTATCGTCCAATTTAATATTTATTAGTTAGAATAAATTCTATTTTAGTCTAACCCCAACATTAAATCATTAAATAATTATTAAAACATTAGTTCGTTGTCAAGTTTTTTTTTGAATTCTCATATACTTGTATTTTGATTGGTCATTGAAGCTTATGTAACAGCGTTTCCCTTTGCGAGGGGTGGTTAATTGATTTGAACCTTTTAAAACCTTTTATTCTACATTCAATATCATCCCTTGATAAGACACCAGAAGTGTTGAAACAAAATGACTATTTTGTAATGATTTTATAACATATTTGTTATAATTTTCGAATAATATATATATATATATATATATATATATATATATATATATATATATATATATATATATATATATATATAGATAGATAGATAGATAGATAGATAGATAGACCTAGTGAGCCAGACATACCTACCTAGGTTTCACCTAAACGGATCGTCAGGGAAAGTGATTGTTGGCAAACCAAAAATTCGAGGTTTTTTCGAAACGAGTAGAGTTATCTATATTTGTATATATATATATATCAGTCGGGTTTCGATCCTAGCTAGAGGCAACCGGATGTCTAGCCACACTGATGAGCTGTGAAACAGCGAAACAGTCTGTCTGTGGATGACGTTATATTGGCTCCTGAAAAATTAATTTCAGTTGAGCTCTCTGGAGAGGAGGTGGGTTGGTAAACAGTGACTATTATAGCTATATATAGCGAGACTCTTCGCAAAAGTGAATTGAGTCACTGTCGGTCACTGGGCGTGTTTCTAAAAATAAATACGCTAAAAATCCGCTTTTATCCCTGCCGTGCGCCGACGGCTTAGTGGTAAAATCTCTGACCGACACCAATTCAGTCGGGTTTCGATCCTAGGTAGAGACAACCGGATGTCTAGGCACACTGATGAGCTGCGAAACAGTCTGTCTGTGGATGACGTTATATATATATATATATATATATATATATATATATAAATAATGCGCGCTGTCCTATTGGTTACAAAGATCTTACATCTTATCGTTAGAGGTCAACTGGAATTCAAGGACGGTGTTTTATACATTATCTTGCTTTGACTGGAGATTCCAAACTATTTTGAGACAACAGAATTTGGCATTCGGCCTAGCCAACTGCTGTTGGGTGTCAGTATTGGTCTATATTGACATTTATTGCAGACTATAAAAAGAATCTTCGCATCTGATATTTGAACCTACGCGCGCTCACATAGGCGCGCATAAATAGATAAGCAATTAGATATAAACAGTGTATAATAGATAAATATGAGAAGTTATATGTATGACTTATCCTTATAGATTTGAGTGTAAATGCACCTTTGCATTGATGCATACAAATTATGTACAGGCCTAATTTATCATGATGGTCAGCAAGTTTATTTAGCAAATCTTTTCGCTGGGTTGGTGGATTTGATTCTAATTATATCTCAGGAAGCAGGATTTTACGAGGAATATCGAAACTTAATAAATAACTTCAAATTGTCCAGAAAGTCACCGAAAAAATGTTTACATATATACTTCCTGTAGGAAATGTAGCAACTATTGTCAGAAATATGTTTTATATTATAGGTTTTAACTGTTTTCAACTGTAATTCAGTATTGAATTTTTCACCAGAAATAAATATCCTGTTCAGACGGATCAGATATATGTTGCTTTCATCCGTTACAGAATTTAATTTTTTTCCTCTATGTAAAAGAATCGTTTAACCTAATGTGAGTGAAATCGTTTCTTTATTTCTCATGAAAGACCGATGGATACGTCGTGTAAAAGTCCAACTTTCAAAATCTGCTGAATATATATTTAAGTTGACACCAGTTTTAAGGCGAGAACATTAGCACCAAAAATATTTAAATAACTATAACTTCCACAGAAGTTGAATACGTATCATATAGATAAATCAATCTTATTGTAAAATTTAAACCAGACAGTTACGTCCACGAAGCATCACTGTCAAACACTAATCGGAGAAAAAAAAGGATTTACCATTCTTATAGAAGAATGTCGACAGAAGTAGTAATCACATGTATTTACTGAACTTCATTAGGTGTATGTCGATCTGGTTAACCTTCAGTGAATTCTAAACTGAACGCTTTATTTAATCTACGGAAATAAACTGTCATTCCACTGTACATATCTGCACATGCCTAGTTCTTATTTATAGTTTTGTTAAGTTATTGCTCACTCCGTTTCAACTGAGTCCATTACCCACTACCCGACGCAGTGATTAAACTCAGAATTACTATATCACCTAATGTCTTGAACCAACACTTCATTGGCCGAAAACATTGTGCCAATACTCAACATGTAAATAATATAAACAATGATAAATTCAGAACACATCTGTGTTAAAATTACCAATTATTTATTAGGTATTTGTGTCCTTATATTTGTAAATTTAATATATTATTACACCTATCGCGCGGAATTTAAGCTATCTCTTGCAGAGGGCTCTTCATTTAGGCCTTCATCACAATAGGTAGGAAGGATGAGATGTGATAGGCAACAATAAACTTCAGATGAACTCAAAATTGATCGCTGCATTTAAGTATTGCATTAATATTTAAGCTTACCTTTTAAAAGTTCAAGAATAATTCTTTTGCCGCCACTTGATTTAAAGACAATTTGATGTGTGTTGGTCCTTAATTTATTTATAAACAATAATTTTTATTTTTATTTTATGGGTGACTTTTTCGTGATTTCGCAATTGATTTCGATTATTCCTAAATTTATTTCCTAGTTATAAAAATTGCTAACGTACAAAAAATTCGTCGCAAAAAATCACGTAAAAATCGCCGAAAACAATCGCCGTAATGAAAACTTGGGAATAAAAAATGTTAGGATTGCGGGTCTGGATTCGACACGGAATGTTTCTAATTTGCTTATGGAGTCGACCTGATTCTAAAATGGTATGATATTTTGGGCTACAGCCTCTAGGAGTAAAGTTTCAAACACAGAGATTTTTATTTTGAAATATTTTAATTTAAGAACGATGATTTTTTTCGTTTGAACATGAGCTATTGAAAGTTAGCGTTGTGTCCCTTTAATTGTTTTTATCAGTAGAAGCCAAGATGGCAGAATCCAAAAGCAATCACAGTAATGACAACTTGGGAATCAAATATTTCAGTATTGTGAGTCCGGATGTGGGGCGGAATCTTTTTAATTTGCTCACGGAGCCGGCCCGATTCCAAAATAGTATATGTTTGGCTACGGCCTCTAGGAGTAAAGTTGAAAAAGTATGACACACTGGCATTCGCGTTTATTATATAGATTTATTTTATTTGAATGTGATATTTTTTTTTATTTTATATCTTATGGCTGAGGATGGCAGTCTAATAGGGCGACTAGCCAATCCCTGTTGCAGACGGCTGATCGGGCACATTTGTGTCTTTTTAACAAACACAGACTTCACCGGTAGTTTATACTGTAACTATTCTTAGTGGACCTTAGTTAGAGTTTCTGGGAGAGCGCTCATTATCAGGAGTGATCAACAGCCGTACGTGACCAGTACGCTCAAACCCACGGCCACGATGACTTATGACTTCGGTATAGCACAATAGTTCAGTCGACCCAGTTTCACTCACAAGGCTTGGGTCAACTTGTGGTATGGTTTTCAGGCACTTTCCAAAAGAACCGAATACTCGGATCGCCTCCCACAGACCGATAACATCAAAAACGTCTGCTTCCTGAAAAATCGACCATGGTGAGATTCGAACCCGGGCCGCATAGTCGGAAAGCGAACGTTCTACCACTCGTGTCCCACATCTATTATTTATATAATGCTGTATATTAAACATTTATGTCTTATATTAAACATTTATTTAATAAATTCTGTATCAGACGTTTGATAGCAGGGGTTGATTAGGCATCAATAATTTTACCTTGATCGATTTACACATCGATAAGAATATCGGCTACCGAGTTGGTTCCGCTGACCAAATCATTGGCTAGATGTACTGACTGTAGCGTCGGCTTAAGCTTTGAATTCAGTTTTAACTCTCTTCTAGACTAATTGCCAACCATGGTTAGAGATTCCTGTCTTTCCTGCAATTCAACCTATCGCTGGGTTGTGGACGAAAAGATAGATCAATACCTTTTCTCAATGACCTTTGGGATTAAGTGGACGAAATAATCATGCAGGAATTTCAACTATATTTGCCGATCCCACTTGCGGATATAATCTTCGTAAAAACTTTAATCTCTTTATCATTCTTTACAATGCTATGAGTGATGTTGCAAATTTAATGTTTACTTTGATTTTATACATATTTAAAACATGTCAAGCCCAAAGACTTTATTTTTACAAGTTATCAATTCAACCGAACTCATTATCTATACTTGAGAAGATTAAATAACAAAACATTGTATATAAGTTTGAGATTTAACTATACGCTTCGAGGCCCTCGGGGGTTTCACTATCTAGTTATTTCTGTAGACATCGCATTCGTTAGATTAAAATAAAGAATTACCGAAGAAAGAATATTGTACAATGTTACAGTGTAAGTTGAGTCAACAGGAAAACATGAATATTATTTTCCTCGTGCTAGAGGGCTTCGTATCTTGACATGGACAACGGGAGTAAAAAAAGAACATGTTTTTTCTTATTTAATTCGGAACCTTCTTTGCTCCTTCAAGCTTTGTTTTATTTGCCAAAGTGCACAATGCAGAAGACGAAAAATCCCTAAAAGTTCTAATGACAACGTTCATCCACTTCATAAACAACAAAGAACATGATGAGCCCCAAAGGTATGTCAACATATCAAATTATGACAAGAGAGAAAACTTCATATGTTGCCAATGTCATGTTTCTTGCATGAAGAAAACTGCAGGAATTTTGTCCATGAATCGTTTCATATTGATATCTATCTGAAACTATGTTTACATCAAACTATGTATGAAAATCTGTGTGTTTTTTTATATATATATATATATATATATATATATATGTGTGTGTGTGTTCCTTATATATATATATATATATATATATATATATATATATATATATATATATATATATATATATATATATATACATATATATGTATGCATGTATATATGGGTGGTTGTTATTGCAGGTAGATATATTTATGTATATATATATATGTTTATTTGTAGATATGTATGTATGTGTGTATATATATTTATGTATGTTTGTGTATGTATATATATAGGTGTGTGTGTTGGAACCTATTATGTATGAGTTTTTGTGTGTATGTGTAGGTATGGAAACTTTGGTATATCATGACTGTTTTTTTATATATCTAAGTATGTGTGCATAAAAGTCTATGTGTGTATATATGTGTGTGTATTTAGGTTTATATGTATATGTACGTACATATGTACTTGTTATCATAGATATGTATATGTACGTATATGTTTATGTTTATATATTTATTTGTGTGTATTTCTGTACGTATATGTATGAATATATATATATTTTTTTTTTTTTTTTTTATGTGTTAATTTGTTTTTGCTGCCGTGTATATATATATATATATATATATGTATATATTTGTGGATTTCTTTATCCTGTTTTTCTTTGCCAAATATATAATGAAACTATTATCAACTTATATGATTAATAATATATATATATATTTATTGATATTTATTGTTTTAGAGTTTTCGTTTTAATATATTAAATAATATTATTTTAAACATTTTATCTTTATATATTTGCTCCCTTAAGTTATAATTCAATAAGTGGTTAGCATTTATTTAAGTCTGAAATATTTACTGGTTGTGATTTCTCAATGTCTATGCCATTGTGGATGTATGTTTGTGTATAAATCGGTGTCTATGTGTATGTAGAGTGTATTCACATTTAACTGTGTGTGTGTATAAGTGTTAGTTTCCACGTCTCCTTTTTTTCGTAAAGGGCTGTGGAGTTGTTCATGTATTCCCCCACCTCTTCCTTTTTTTTTTTTTTTTTTTTTTTTTGTGTGTGTATATTTGTGTGTGTGTGTGTATGTGTGTGTGTGTGTATGTATCTAATTATGTCTAGATGCGTATGTATTATAATCTGATTGTGATTTTGTTGTGTCACGCGTGAGTTTAAGACCATATTCACAAACTTTAAAAAAAAACGGAAAAGAAAAAAAATATATACATGTATTATCAGATGACCGGACGAATTGTAGCTTTTTGTCTTGTCAGACGTAATTTCAATGAAGAAATGAATTGAATAAACATATATATTTTTTTTCTTTTCTCAATAATTTTGTAGTTTTTTAAACTTAATAGTGATTAAATTTGGATTTTAAAAATTGCCAGTTTTAATTTTAATATTAAATTTTATCATATAAATTTATAATTATTAGTTAGTAAAAATTATT